TCCTTCTCTAATAGTAATAACAACCATTATAATTTAAAAATCATACAGCTGTGTTTTCAAACAAAATAAAATGTCAACTCTATGATGTATGAAGAATTTCTCCATTGCAAATTACCGAAGGTGTTAACACTGGAAACTGAAGAAATTGCCTTCATAGTCTTAACACTCTATAAAACATTAATATAAATAAGTAACACAGGTATGTATATACATTTTCGTGTGTGTATTTGTAGTCAAGCACCTTTTTAAATAATATGTTTAGCTGCACTATATGTCATCATTACATTGTAATTCTGATTATTTGAAAAATGTAACATTCATAAACATATAAACAAGGAAATTGTGCAGTTGTACAGCATAGTGTAATTTTATGGAAATTATCTTCTCTCAACTACTTAACATTTTCAAATTTGAGTCAGCTGTTAACCATATTACAGAGTAATTATGTAGAATATATATAAATAATAAGTCAGGAGTTTTACTCTATTATTGTTTCTATATCTCAAAGCTAATTATACAGTATGCTAGGTTTATTAAAAGTAATATTTAATGATATTCACACTTAAACACTTTTGTATACATGTTGCAGTTTGATTAAATAAAATGTAAAGATTATTAAGATAAGCTATCAAAAAGCAGAGGAGAATTGCCTCAGAAAGCCAAGAATTAGTTAAGTAGAACACAAATAATTAATAGTTATAAAGAAGTATAAAGAGATTGTGTTAAAAAATAATTTCATTTAGTAGCACTATTCATAGAGTTTAAAAACCTGCAATCTGCATTTTATATCTCTGATCATGGCCTTATTCCAGAAGTAGGTGGTAAATACCAAAAATTCAGTAAAAAATAAAACCCAGAAACACAATAGAAAACCTGGAAATACATTAAATAGTAAATTCATTTATATGATATGCAAGTGACAAATAAATTTACAAAGTATACATACAGTAGTCTACTACCCACTAGGAAGACTAAAATTAAATATAATGTTAATTTTGTTTTTCAGTGGCACTATATATTCACTAGAATGGCTATAGGAAGAGAAAACAGTGGTGTTCATACAAATGTGTAGCTACTAGAATCCGCACACATTGTGAAACTGAGGTTAGTACCAGAACTTTAGAAAACTTCTTCACTTATTATAGATGAGCACACACATACCTGTGATAGAGCAACCTTACTCCCTAATATGTTTCCAAGAAAAATGAATGTGGACATCTGCCAAAAACACACTTGGGAATACTCATGGTGCATAACTTTTGTAAGAGAGAAATATTGGAAGCGTATTAAATATCTCTCACTAATAAAACGGGGTTTGTGCGCATGTTCATGTAACAATGTACAAGGACAAAACAGTCTAAACTACATTAGCTACATAGCTATATGCAACCATGTGGATTTATTTTAAAGCTCACAGTATGATACTGAGGGAAAGAAGCCAGAAAGGAATGATAGACAATTATTTAAAAACTAATCTGCGGTGTTTGAAACGGGTTAATTGTCACCCTGGGAATGAAAAGAGTAATGGCTGGAGGACATAATCAGAACCTCATGTTGGGTAATTGTCTCTTCTTGGGCCCTTGATGGTTTATCTTGATTGTAAACTGGACCAGACTGAGAAGCATCAAGGACATCATGAAGCCCGTCTCTTGGTGTGCCTGTGAGGATGTTTTTCTGAGAGGATTCATTGGGAGGGAAACCCTGCTCTGAATCTGGACAGGCTTATTCTACAGGTGAGAAAGGAAAAAGCTAGATAGTGCAATTGCCCCCTAAGTCTGTCTACCCTGCCCTGAGCTACCTAGCTACAGGAAGCTTCCCACACCAGAAGTGAGTGACTGAAACTGAAAGTCACAAGGAACACCTCCTGTACACAGATGTGTTCAGACATTCTGTCACTGTGACAAGAGAGTGACTAATGAAGCATCATCCTGACTACACAGGAAAACTCACACTGTGATTATCTGGCTACTAAGAATTCTTTTACATGGTGCTTCAATATTAACATTATTGAAAAATCAATAACAGAAATATAAATAGAGAATATGAGGCAGCTCACGAAGCCCCTACTAACCAAAGAATAATAATTTAAGAAATAAAATAATTCAAATAGACTCAATAAAAAAAACTCCTTGTCCCCAGTGGCATTTTAAAATGGATAGTACTGGAACCCTGTACACATCGCTCTTTTTAGCTGATGAACGAACAAACCTTCCTGTGTCCCCCATGTCATCCTCACCTGAGCATAAGCAGACTTCACTTTTCCTGTCAAAGTGTCCCAATTTGGATGATGAGTTATTGGAAGGTCACCGGGGGCGTGTCTCTGAGAATGTGTCTCTGGGGGTGTGTCCTTGACATTTACATCTTCTCCTGGATCCTTCCTTCTACCATTTACTTCCTGATCAGGATGAAGACTCTCTGCTCTGATATGCTTTCCCTGTGAGGATAAACAGGAAGTGACACCAAAATAAACAATGCTCCTCTCTTTGTGCTTTTCTCAATTATTTGGTTATCATGAAAATAATTCCAACACAGTATTTAAATAAAATGTATTCTCAATATTTTTTGTTGTTTACATCTTCCTGTAATGCACATCTAAATGTATAATGGCAGAAGGTGAGTTTCAATGTGTGTGGCAGGAGAGGTGAAAACATTGCAGAGCGTTATCCCACTCTTTCTATTGTGATGAACAGCCACAACTAAATGCTAGAATTCAGTATCCTCTTGACTGTTTTCATGCCTGAGTCGCTATCATCATGTATGTACAGATAGGCTTATGTTATCCTTTTCTTTCTCGACATTTTGAGCAACCACCTGTCACATTAATTCTTAACTATTTAATATTTGTTTTGATTCTATATGAAAAAATATTATATGCTTAGTTTTCTGATATTTTATTAAATATAGTATATTAAGAATAAATATTTCAAATAACTTTCAAAATCCAAAATTCAGTATTACTTCTATGCCATTCAAAACATTTTAATTAATTAAAAAATTCAAAATATGTATGCATGTGAATTATGACCAATCTCTGAAATTGTTTCATACAAATGAAATCCTTAAAATTAAAAACCATACATGATCTAGAGAACTATTTAATTTCCACCTCTTTTCTCAGAAGAACTGTAAGATACTTGTGATACTATCTAAAGCACAATAGATACTGTGAAAAAATTAAAGTAAAAGAAAAAAATCACAAGGTTAAAGGACTGAGAGGCTGACTGCTCAGTGGCTAAGAGCACCTGCTACTCAAACATGAGGACCTGAGTTTGAGTCCCCAACACCCAAGTAAGAGGTTGAGAGTGGTGGCACAAGCCTGCATTCCCAGTGTTGCAGTGTGAGGTGGAGAGGAGAGGATTGATGTGACTTGCTGGTTACCAGGTTCAAGTTCAACGTGAGACCCTGTTCCAGTGCAATAAGACTGACAAAGAACACCCAATACCTTAACTTCATTTTCTGTTGCTGTGATAAAGCGTCCGGAAAAAAGAGTTCGTTAGAGGGTTTGTTTGCCTTCAAAGTCCAGTTTGCAGTTCATTACTGTAGGAAACTAAGGCTAAAGGATCAAGGAATAGCTAGTCACATGACATCCACACTCAAGACCAGAAGCCAGTCAATTAATGAATGCATATGTGAGCTCAGTTTGCAGTCTCCTTTCTTTTACAGTTCAGGAACCCCAGCTGAGGGAATGGTGACACCCACAGTGGGTGGTCTTCACATCTCAATCAATATAGTCAGTCAATATAACAACAGACCTGCTCACAGGCCAACCTGATCTACATCATCCCTCTTTGAGGCTTTCTTCTCAGATGATTTAAAATTGTGTCCAGCTGAGAATTAATACTATTCCAACTGACATCTTCCTCTTGCCTCTGATTATTCAGATGCGTAGCACCTAGAATTCTCATACATCTATGGAACTGAAGTTGATACAAACATTTTAGAAAAGTACTATTTATTATATGTACACACAGGCATACCCACCCACTTCCTACTAACATTCAAAATTAAAAGAATGTTTGAGAGAAAAAAAAAGCACAAAATATTTTGAAATGCATAGAATATTCATGAGGGTACTATCCATAATCCACAAGGTTTTAACTGTCAAGCACCCCATTAATGATATCCACGCAATGCCTTAGGAGGATTCAGCTGTTCTTAGTAATAAGAATAGATTAGAATCTCTCCAGAAGAGAGGAGTAAGGGGACCCCCAGTTACATCTGCATGAGTTCACCACACACAGTAGATTCCATCACTTCATGTTCACATTCTCCTTAATGAGTTAGAAGCAAAACTTTGGGGAACAGGTCCAGAAATTCACTACTTCCTCCCCCCTCCCCCAGGGAACTAAATTTTAGTTTATTTTATATCTTTTAGGGTAGTTCAAGTATATTAATGTCATCCATTTGAATTAGAAAAAATCAAGTAATTTGAGATTAAATTTCCTAGCTTTTCAAAAAACTCAACAAGTTAAAATATTCAAGATGATTATGTTGTAAATACGCATGTGTCTCATTTAGAATCTACACTAGTTCCTTTATGTGTTTATGTTCCTTGTTTTCCTAAAAACAGACTGCGTATTTTTTATGAGAAATTTCTTCAGTATATTTGAGGATCAACTCTAGTATATTAGAAACAATAATTATTTTCTATGTTTTGTAACATACTAGATATTAAGCAGCCAGATTCGAGCATCTGGAGATATATTGGCATCTTAACAGGTAAATACTAATGTTGTACATTTTGGACTTCTAATCTACCTGTGAGTGACTCCCTGGTCAACTTATTATACAATAGAACAGGAATCTGTCAGTGTATAGGCAGATTTGAGGTGTTATGAAAATTATACCCTGATCTCTTGCATTAGTGAGGAGAAATCACCCCTGACTCCAGTGTTAAATTAGCATTCACTATTGACATTTAGAGTATGAAGGGGAAAGTTCCTATTTGCAGCTTCCACTGGAAGCAAGTACATGATGCTGGTATTTTCTTTTTTCATTTTAATATTTGAGTATGTTAGATTCTGATATAGTTTAAATTTAAAAAAAATACCCTTCTTTCAAGTTATTGATGAATTCCCTGAGAGAATAAAAATTGTACTTTGAGTTAGGGAGAGCCAACAGGTCCTCTATCCCTTCAAAATTAGGACCTTGGACTTGCTTTAAATTTATTTGTGTTTCAGAAGCATCACTTCACTTTAATATTACTATGCCATTATCTCCAAAAGCAATAAAGACACCTGAAACATATTTCTACATTTTATCAGTGTCAACTTAAAATGCAGGGAGACTCTTGGGGGCACAATAGAGTGAGGCATGGGAGACAAGACAGCATTTTGATTGAACTTGCAATTAATTAATTTTAATCAGAAATGTAAATAAATGCTCCAAAGTCGATCGTTTATTTTATTAACTTGAACACATTGATTTGAGTAATTAAGCAACACAGAAACACAGATTAATATTTGGCAGATTTTACACTCTGGTGTCTACAGCATACATTTTGGCTGTCTCTGTCCGAGGGGCCTTGTAGGACTTGGCCATGGACACACCTGCAGTTGAATAAGGCTTCCTCATGGCATAAGGGTAGTTCCTCTCAGGCCCAGCATCTGTTCAAAAGAGATAAATGCAGAAAAATGAAAATACATATAACCCAGTTAACTTTCAAAAATGAAAAATAGTCATTTTATATGTTCTTCTCAAAACAGTCAAGGACATACACCAATTCACACAGGCATCTTTGTACATGTTCACACACACATACAAATACACATGTATGCATGCATATATATGAATATATGTACATATATACATAAACATACATTCATACACACAAATACATGCTCTCATAAACATACACATACATACTCTCTTTTTACACAGACACACACAGAGACACATACATACTCTCACATGCATGCATATAAGTATATACACATATATGCATGAAAATACATGCAGATGCATATGCACATTCAAACACACAAAAGACATGCACACATGCACACACAATCACGCACATGCACATGCACACTCTTTTTCACACACATGCACACACACACACACACAAAGCACATACAAATCACACACAGAAGTCTCTGTTGGAATCATGTAGCATTCCTGAATATCAGAGGAAGTTCTGAGTATTTCAATCTAAAAACTATCTTCATATTGAAATTGTTGTGAATAATTTCCTTTGTTTTATTATTAAGAGATCTTGGTAATTCATTTGGATTTTTAGAAAACTAATAGCATACATTACATTCTTTACCAACAAATATTGCCGACGCTTAGTCAAGTTGGCCATTTAATCTTAAACATAAATTGAGTTGATTTAGTGAACTTAGATTCACATCAATGATCATTGTACATAAATTACTAGTGTATGTTTGAATACTAGACAAAGATGCAGCACTGACTTTCCTTTTCCACTAATATCTACGACTGCAGAATCAACCATGAGGACTACTATTCAGTTGTCTTTGAACAACTGAAAATGCAAAGGGTGTCATTTCTACTAGATCTGATGAGACGTATTTTCTTTGGATTGGGAAGGATGACAGTAAAAGAGGGACCCATCCTCTGCTTTGTCCTTACCTCTGAAGAGGTACAAACAGCAGGTGAGGAGAGCTCCTGCCAAAAAGCAACCCAGAGACCCAGCCATTCCAAGCCAGCATGACCAACCAAATTTGTATTGGATCCCGAGAAATATATTGTGAAAAATCAGAGAAGAGCGTTCGACGTAAACATCCACGGCATACCACACAGAACCAATGATTCCTGGGGTACCTGAAAGAAACAAGGGGAGTCAAGAATGATGCAGAGCATTCTCCAAGTTTAGTTCCAAGGATCTCTGTATTGTTAAAGATGCATGGTGTCAGATAAAGCAGTCGTATTGCTAAGGTGATTCATGGATAATAGAAGTTTGGGCAGTTTCTGTCATTGCCTTTCAGCTTTTCTCTCTAAAAAAAAAAAAAAAAAAAAAAAGCACTGCCATGAAATAACACAGTGCTCATCTGTTTGTGAAACTCTAAAAGGATCGCTATGGTGTATCTCTTTACAGCTTTCTCATTTTTCCAAAGATATTTTCGTACAGCCATATATCACTTAACAGAGAAATGTGTGTGGTTGACATGCTGTACACCTGAGCTACATGGCATGCACATGTGCACACACACATATACAAAAATGTCATGGCTCATTTCTCCCAAGGCCATAGAGAACAAGAAAATATGAAATTAAGGTCAATATCAAGAGAAAAACAACGCAGTGAAGAAATGCACCCATGGGCAACAGGAGTCAGCTCTAATAGGGTACAACGCTTTACATAAAACACCTTTTTAAAGTGAATGGAGTACACTCTGAAACAATGATAAAATACATTAAATATACTCTCTTATAACATACCATCCATTACTACCACCAAGTGGCATGTGCTGAAGTTGTATGTGTTCATCTGGGACAACATTGTCACAAATATGTGAGTAATGCCATGTGCTATAACGATACGACAGTTGATATATCACCAGGCAAAAGAAATCATCAGCTCCATTATGATGTCAACAGACTCCAATCATATATATAGCTTACCCCTCAGCAGAATGTCATACATGACTCATGACAGGATTTCAATATTTAAAACAAGCATTGGAAACATGGAAACATAAATAACAGAACATTTTTTTCATACTATATACATTTTCTTCTATTTTAAGTTGGTGGGATTGTTTTGTTTATATTTTATGTTTTTGTTTTGTTTTGAGACAGGGTTTCTTTATATAGGAATAGCCGTCCTGGAACTTACTATGCAGATTAGGTTGGCGAGATTCACCTACCTCCTGAGTGCTGAGATTGAAGGCATGTACCACCACAGACTGGGCTTTCTACATTAACTTTTAATTGAAAGAACATGTTGTTTAAAAATATTCTGTGTTTTCAAGACCTGTGAAGGAAGCTATCCCAGATACCTTCATGTAAATGGTGCTGCCCCAGATAAACAGTTAACACTCACACGTACACTATGCTGTTCCAGATTCAAAATCAATACTGACATGTAACGGCGCTGTGGTGAATACTTTTATGTCAAGTTTACAGAAACTAGAGTCATCTGAAAGTAGGAAATGTAAACGTGAAAATGCCTCCATAAGATGTGGCTGTGAGACTTTTTTTTCTTTTTTTATTGGTTATTTTATTTATTTTCATTTCAAATATTATTCCTCTTCCAGGTTTTCCCTTGGTAAGCCCCCAATCCAATTCTCCCTTACCCATGCTTCTATGAGAGTGCTCCCCCACCCACCCATTCACTCCTGCCTCACCACCCTAGCATCCCCCTATGCTGGGGCATCGAGCCTCCACAGGACCAAGGGCCTCTTCTCCCATTGATTCCATATAGGGCAATCCTCTGCTACATATGCAGCTGGCTCTATGGTCCCCCCCATGTGTACTCTTTGGTTGGTGGTTTAGTCCCTGGGAGCTCTGGGGAGTCTGGTTGGTGGACACTGTTGTTCTTCCTATGGAGTTGCAAACTCCTTCAGCTCCTTCACTCCTTCCCCTAGCTCCTCCATTGGGGGCATTTTCTTAGTTGATGATTGATTGAAGAGAGGAGAAGCCAGCCCATTTTGGTGGTGCTGTCTCTGGACTGGTAATCCTGGGTTCTCTAAGAAAACAGGCTAAGCAAATCATTATTAACAAGCTACAACACCCCTCCATGGCCTCTGTATAAACTTCTGACTCAACTCCCTGCCCTGTTTGAGCTCCTGTCCTGAATTCCTTCAGCAATGGATTATGATATGAAAGCGTAAGCCAAATAAACACTTTCCTATCCAACTTGCTTATGGTCATGGTGTTTCATTATAACAATTGTAACTCTAACTGCAATACATGATGTTGCAGACATACAGTCAACATTCCCATGTAAATTGGGTCATCCTATTAATGCAGTCAGTATCTACATGTAAATTGTGTCCAATACAGTGCAATTCAGTGTGCTGGGGTGGGGGAGGGGAGATAAATCCCATGTAAAAACTGCGTCTTTTCTAACAATCATCGTCCCACGTTCCAGATCATGTCAGAATGGGCTGAGAAGTGCCATGTCTTCCTTTCACGTTTGACTGAAGCCCACAGCGTAACCTCTCTAATGATTGACTCACTTGAAATGACAGCACATTGGTTCCAGTATTTTAAGTACAAATTGTATAACAATGAGAAAAGTGATAACTGGGAGTCAGTGGAATATGTTGAAAGGATATTTTAAAAAACGCTTACCCTCTTGGGGTGGCGGGGTACATATAACCAGCTCCTGGAGAGTTGGTAATATCTATTTTAAATCTAATTGTTCATCAAAGGTATTTAATCATGTAACCGTTATAAAAAGGCATACGTTACCATCCATTTCTATAACATTGTCACATTTACGAACTAATTTGGAAAAACCTTTTTTTAAAAAAAACTACAAAACAGAATTCATGCTTTAAAAATCTGTGTATCGCAGGCTAACTGTCGATAATGGTTTCAGCCCTTAGTTATCTTCAGCCTCTTAGTTTGATCACCTTTTCTGTAACATTCACAAGAATTTTCTTCAGTAATTTGATTTTTTGTTTATTGATTTATAAAAAAAGTATTCATGATATTAAAGATTTTTTCTAAAAATGAAGTATGTTAAGTTTGTTGAATAAACTCTCTGGTATATATATGAGCTGTACACTGTCAGAAGGCAGGATATGGATAGACTGTCTTAAATGAGTAGAAATGATAAATTCATGTAGCACAACCCAAGGATGGTCAGGGACTCAGGGTTATTGAATAAAATAAACCAAGTCCAGTACCTGCAATGAGTAATGTGGTCCCTGCAACAAAGCAGAGGCGGACTTTGATTTGTGGCTCATCAGGTAGGAACTTCACGCAGTCAAGACCAAGGAGCAGGGTGATGAATCCAAAGCCAGCTAGAATGTCAGCTGTGATCATCAGTGCTCGTGTCACCACGAGCTTCACTGCAAGACCATGGAATCATAGAAGGGTGGGGGGAGGGGGAGGGAAGAGGAATGGAGGAAGGGGGAGGAGGGGGAGGTGGAAGAGACAAGTTAACTCCCACAGAAACGTCACAGAACACAAGATTAGACACAGCAACATAAAACTTCACATAGAGTTCAGAATTTATATCTATACAAGCTTCAGTATGGGTGCCTATAATATCTCATGAAATTCAAAACTTTCATAAAGCGACTGTAGTTGTGAAATCAAAACTCTGAGTGGCAGTTACACAGATTTGTACAAAAGAATTGGAGTTTGATTCAAAATACTAGAAAGAAAAATACATTCACAAATAGTGTATGAACTACTGTTATATTACCTAGATCATAGAAAAAATTAATATATTTCTTTCTTTATAAGCTAGTTATATATTATTTTCATAATAATCTCAGACCTTCTTGCCTTTATGGGTTTTTTTTTTTCAATGAAGAGATAAAATTCTGGCTTATGTTTGTGAGAAATATAGGCGATTTCCCCGGTTTAAAATAGTTAGATTTATATGATACATGTGCAGAAGAAAAAAATTAATGTATGAAAGTCTTCCTATCTTATCAACATGGGAATATACTGTGTATGTCCATGTATTATTATGATGTTACTACTAATTGTTCATATGAGAGAATATATAATCACCTAGGATACAGGCTCTAGACATACCTCCAAGAGATTGTTTGGCTTCTAGGCATGCCTGTGAGGCATTCAACAGTTAAATTAATTGAGATGGAAAATGCCATGCTAAAAATGTGTATCACTTTTCTTTGGCTTGGGTCATGGACTATATAAAAATGATGAAGTGAACTGGCCACAAGCATTCACCTTTCTCTGCTTCCCATTGGTGAGTGTATTGGGAGCAGCTGCTTCAAGTCCCTGTTACATTGACTTTCCTGCCAGCATGGGCTGAACCCTTTAACTGTGAGCCAAAAGAAAGCTTTTCTCCTCTACATTGCTTTTGTCAGAACATGTTCTCACTGTGACTATAACAGAAACCAAGACAATTATCAACACATGGGGATGTATTTATCCTAAGACTTGGAATTTCTATCTTAAAAATTGTCATTATTTCAAAAAAACCAAATATATACATATATTTTCTCCAAAACACTACAAGAAACATTGTGAAGATTAACATTTATATGCTAGATTTTTAAATTTTTCTTTAATTTAGTACTCGGTACATTAGTGGCCTTCTACTAAAGAGAAAACTTTGGCCCACCCAAAGCCATTAATTAGGGTGAGATATTCATGCATACCTATGTTGGCCCTGCTTTCCTCTTCCTATAGAGATTCTTGCATGTTCTGTTTCATATGGAAGTCTCTATGGAACACTAGAACTTGAGCCCTGTGGTTAATCTGGTTCCAGGAGGGCAGATCTGTTACAAGCAAAATTCTCAAGCAATCTATTGAAGAATTTGTTTTTTCAAGAGTTGAATTCTGGCTTCCAGGACAGAGTTAGCATCCTTACTTGGGGCTGCCCCAACTACTTTTAACAAAAGAAGCACCAGAGGACAAATATCTATCAGGTGCCATACACCCTGTATATACAGGAGAAATTGCAAAAGTTATGTACAATGATTCTATGAATTTAGTAGAAAATGAAATGAAATCTTTACACCTTGTAGACAGCCTCCTAACCAAGGAGGCCTAAAGATGTTATTATTCTAGAACACATCTTTATTATTGTTGTCTTTAAACATATACTTACATACAAATGAAAGTTCTTTACCATTTGAAAACAATAAGTAAGAACAACAGACAAATATGACATAGTGCAGGTAAAGCTTTAACAGGAGTATATTAAGGTAGTAACATTTGTTTCCCTAATGAATGGTTCTAACTCTTCTTCCATAACTGTGTGTATCAGTAGTTACATTTTAAAAGCTTTAACTTTTGCTTGACTTTCCAGACCCAGCAGATGGCACAGCATGCAAAGGTCTGTTCCCAAGCCAGAAGACCTGAGTTCAAACCACAGAACCCAGGGAGAAGGAAAGAACTGACTCTCTGCCCTCCACAACTGCACCTGGGCATGCCCATGCCCACACACATACATGCAGAAATATAAGTAAATAAATAAATAAATAATGTTTGTCTTCTGAGCTTGGTCCACATATTACATTTTAAAAATAGAATGAGAACCTGGAATATATTTCCTCCTTTTCATCAAATCAGGATCTCTCTCTCTCTCTCTCTCTCTCTCTCTCTCTCTCTCTCTCTCTCT